CATGATGAATAAAAGGTGCTTTCATTATTCATCGCAGTTCCTTTTTTAAACTTTAGTATAGAGAGTAGACTATTAACTTTTCCTGGAATGTTCATCCTTGTCCAATTCAGCCCTCCACAATCAGGATAAGATTGCATCTTTTTTCTGTGTTTGGCCCTTCATTATAGTCTTATTAAATATTATGTATACCTAAACAGGGTCAACACGTTTTGTTCACAGTAATTTTGTAGCCATCTTATTGAAAATTGTGTTTACTGTGACACCATGGTCTTGGAACTTGTTGGTGGAGCTTTTTTGGGTGCTGTCTTTAATGTATTGCTTGAGTGAGTGGCTTCTCCTTAGGTGGTTAACTTCTTGAAGGGGAGAAACTGAACTACAAGTTGCTAAAGAAGTTGAAGCTGATTTTGTTATCACTTCATGTAGTTCTTGATGATGCAGAGGGAAGGTAAATTGCAAACACAGTAGTGATGGAGTGGCTTGATGAACTTAAAGATTTGCGTATGATGCTGATGATCTATTGGATGAGATCTACACTGAAGCTATGTACGGTGCAGGTGAGGTAAGAAACTTTTGACTCTACTTGGAGTTCTTATGATAGAGAACTAGAAGAAAACATGGAGGAGATCATTGAAAATTAGATTTAATTGCAAAGCATAAAGATGTGCTTTGTCTAACAGGGAGAGAAGGGGTCTAACAGTCACAAAAAACTCCCACATCATCTTTAGTTGAAGGGTCCAATGTCTATGGAAGAGATTATGATAAAGAGGCCATAATCAAACTACTATTTGATGTTGAAAGTGATGATAACAAGATAGGTATGGCTGGAATTGGAAAGACCACCTTAGCTCAACTTGTATACAATGATGATATCATGATAGAGTGAAGGAAGAATTTGATCTCAAAAGTTTGGGTTTGGGTTTCTGAAGAATTTGGCATTTCTAAGATAACAGAAAGAGTCTTAGAGATTCTTACTATGTGCAACTATGGAATTAGAGATTTAGATTCACTTCAAATTGAACTAAAGAATAGGGCTAATGGGAAAGAAATATTTATCTGTGCTGGATGATGTGTTGAATGAGAACTACATTGATTGGGACATACTGAGAAATCTTTTTCAATATAGTACCCAGCGGAGCAAGATCATTGTTACTGCAAGAAGTGAGCATTTAGCATCAATAATGCAAACTACTGCATCATATTATTTGAGATATCTCTCAGATGATGACTGTTAGATGATGTTTGCAAAGCATGCATTTGATTATAGAAACCCAAGACCAAATCCAACTTTGGAAGAAATGGGTAAAAAAATTGCTAAGAAATGTAAGGGATTGCCTCTTGCGTCTAAAACATTAGGAGGTCTCTTACCTCAAAAACCAATGTCAAACAATGGGACAACATTTTGAACAGTGACATATGGGAGTTGTCAGATGCAATGAGCAATATTATTCCACCTTCGAGATTAAGTTATTATTATCTCCCTTCACATTTGAAACGATGCTTTGCTTATTGTTCAATATTCCCTAAAGGTTATGAATTTGACAAGGAGGAGTGGTATTGCTATGGATGGCAGAAAACTTACTACAAGAACCAAGGGGGAATAAAAGAATTGAAGAAGTTCGAGATGAGTACTTCTGTGAAATGGTATCCAGGTCATTTTTCCAACAATCGAGAAATGATGACTCACTCTGTGATGCATGATCTTATAAATGACTTAGTTCAATATGCAGATGGAAAATTTTGCGTCAGATTGGAAAACAACTCAAATGAAGATGCTGAGAAACAACTCGTCATTTGTCACAGATCATTGCATGCAGATACCCCTCCATAGACTTTGAGGCTTTCCACAAAGCAAATTGCCCGCCCATCTTTCTAGAACTAAGATTGGTAGGTCCCCATGTGCCTTTTCAACAAGGTACTGCATGATATTTACTGACTCAAGCCTATTAATTATGTTTTAGATTTATTTAAATTATTTAGTTCTAGAAGTATGTTCAAATAAAATATTTTAATATTAATAAAAATATAAATATTTTTTTATTAAATTAATTTATATATTTTTTTAATTTCTACCTATAATATTAATAATTATTAAATAATATTTATATAATTTTATAAATATTTTATATTAATAAAATTTATATTTATATTTTTCTTGATTTATTTTTTAAAAATTATTTAAATATTAAATATTTTAATTTTATTTTAGAAACATATTTTGTTTGTTTAAAGAAATCTTATATTCAACAAATAAAATTATAATGAATAAATAAAATTGATCAAAAAAAATAACATTCACACAATTTATTGAATCAATTAAAAAATTATTATGTTTTCAAAAATAAATAAATTTAAACTTAATGCAAAATATATATATATATATATATATATATAATGACAATAATAATAATTATTATTAAATTAAAAAAATAATTACAAAATATTTAATTTTATTTGTTTTATTAATTTGTTATTTTAAATTAACAAATAAACATAAAATTAACTACACTATAACATTAAAGTAATATAAAAAATATTACTGACACAATAAATTAAAATACATGCTTATGTATTACATATAAATTGATAAATTAACTAATAATTTAATTAAAACACGTACAAGTTACAAAAATATATATTATTATATAATTTATTTATAATTATATTATTTATATTATTTGCTATATAGTCTGATTATATATATATATATATATATATATATATAATAAATTTTTTATTTTATTTTTTTATCATTTTTTATAAATTTTTACTTTTAAATAAAATATAATTTATATTTAAGCAACTTTTATTTATTATAAATAAGAATAATTATAATATAATATATTAATATAATAATTAAATATTAATAATAAAAAAAATTAAAATATAAAAAATATATTAATATTTATTTTTAAATTTTAATTCATTTAGTTTGAACTGTGTCCTATTTTTGTTCAAAGAGTTAGACGTTCTTTAACTTATTTAAATGTAACAAATGTAATAATTTATGATTAAATAAATTTATTTTTTAAATATGTATAATCGTGTATAAATATTTTTAATTTTGAATATAATATAAAATAATTATTTAAAATTTAGGTGTATGACTATGTGCTATGGACCTGTGATAAGTCTATAATTAGGCCCTCTTTTATAATCCATATATTCATATTCAATCTTTATTTAATTTGGGTTTTACATTAATTTATTTATTAATTGTGCAGTTTTGTATAAAGAGGCTGTAAGTAGATTTTGGGTGCATTTTAGGAGCAAATTGATAGAAGATTAGAGCTTCGCAGCAGCCAGCACGCCCAGTCCCTTCTAACAAGCACCGGGGGTGCTTCGAGCCCATGCACGGTCGTGCTTAAGGCCTTGCACGGCCGTGCTCATCTACGGGAAGCCCAATTATGAAGAGTTTGTAGGGTTTTCAAATCCTATAAAAGGGAAGATCTTAGACAACGTTTGAGATCAGTTTTTGACATCTTGTCTTTGGCTCTAGAATACATCTGATCTCGTCTCTCTTGCACAAGATCCTTGGCACATGCTTGACGAGACTTGGAGTTTCGAGCGATCGTACTTGAAGACCGATAACTCATCTCATTCTAGTTTGCTTTTGATTATGGCTTTGTTTATGATTGTTTTAGTTATTTTCTTTAGCATGAGTAACTAAGTCCATAGCTAGGGCTATAGGAACTATTGTTCATGAATTTATAGAATTTTGATGTTTGAATCTAAATTTAATTTTCGTTTTGTGATTAGATTTTATCCTATTGCACTTCTTTCTTAATCCTAATTAATTATATTGTCAGACGACTGTACCTCGGTTAATTAATAGATCTATAGGATAAAACGAGACAAAGGATTAGGTGAACCAAACCAATCTTTCTCCTCTAATCGTTATTAAATTAACAAGTTCATATGTTCCTTAAGCTTTCTTAAATTAATGTCTTGTATGACCATTGGGGATGTTAATTTAGAGAAAAGAATATTAATATTGCATAACCATTGGGTATTAATAGTATTCGTACGAATGATTGGTAATCACAAGGAAATTGAATTTAGAGTTAAATAGAAAAAATAACATAAAGGATTGAATGAGAAAACCCATATGCCCTAGGTTCCTCTCCGATAAGTTTAACCAAGGCGTGCAATGTATTCCTTGTTTTAGTTTTATAATTAATTTTATAAATTCTTATTTTTAATTAATCTCGTATCTTTGAAGCTTAAACAATTAAATTAGGAAATTCTTAGTAATTGAAAATCAATCCTTGTGGGACGATATTTCGGGAACTTAATTTAAGAATCCTTTATTACTTCTCGATGGGTACACTTGCTCTCCGAACAAGTTTTTGGCGCCGTTGCCGGGGATTGCTTTTTCAATATTAAGAAAATCTAAAATTTAATTGATTTGAGCAATTTGTGTTTTACTTTATTTTAGTTCTGTTTTGTTTATTGTTAATTTTTTTTTTTACAATTTTCGTATTTATTTTATTTTAATTTTTTTATTTCATAGTTTCTTTTAATGTATGCTCACTCGTTCTAAGTGCTCTACAACTTGTTTATTTGATCTGAAGATTGAGAGAACAGTGCATAGACAAAGAAAAGAACTGAGAGAGCAAAGAATGGCAGAGGGAAGGAGATCAATTCAAGATTACATGACAACCACTACTAGAGGCACTCCTGAAAGCATTGCGGCACCTAATGTGGAGGCCAACGATTTTGAATTGAAACCAGCACTCATAACCATGGTCCAGAACTCAATATAATTTGGAGGAATGCCTAACGAAGACCTTAATCTTCATCTGACAAAGTTCCTTCGATTGATGGACACCATAAAGTACAATGGAGTCTCCAACGATGTTATTCGACTCTGACTTTTCCCCTTCTCAGTATCTGAAAGGGTGAATGCATGGTTTTCCTCACTCTCAGCCAATTCCATCAGAAGTTGGGAGGATCTCACTCAACAATTCTTGGGAAAGTACTTTCCTCCATCAAGGTCCTCTAAGCTTATGACGGAGATATGTTGCTTCCAACAGCATGAAGCTGAATCTTTATTTGAGGCATGAGAGCGATTTGGAGAGCTTTTGAGGAGATGTCCTCATCATGATTTTCCGACGTGGAGACAGATACAAATTTTTTACAGTGGCCTATCAATCACTACCAGGGTTACGATTGATGTCGCAGCAGGAGGGTCCCTCATAAGAAAAGATCCAGATGATGCATACAAGCTAATAGATGAGATGACATCTGCTAGCTTCTAGTGGCACACCGCTGACTCTTACGACATCAAGAGGAAAGAGACCGCCACAGTCCACCAAGTAGAGAGCAGCAGTCCACTAATGAACCAAATGGCAGCCCTTGCAAAGTAACTAAAATCTTTAATGCAGGCTCAAGACCAACCTGTAAGAGCTCCCGCAAGCCCAGAATTTAAACAAGATGAGGCAAACTTCATGGGCAATCACAGTTTAGGGTGGAGGAGTAATCCTCCTAACTCTTGGGAGAATGGCTTTAAAAGTCAAAATTCAAGTGTTTATCGCCCTCCTCATATGCAAAGTCAAGGAGAAAGACCTGAAGGAAAAGAAGCTCCTAGATCTCAGTCCAACTTTCAAGAACAGATGATGCAATATGTGCATTACTCTAATAAGAGGATGACAGAGCTTGAATCCAAGTTGGACTAACATATTGATAGAACTGATAAGAGGTTCGCAAAGGTTAAATCTGAAATACAAGCCAACTTTTCTAAGATGAGTGCACAGTTGGAGCAAATTATGAACCTTCTGAGTCAAAGAGTGATGGGAACACTGTCATCTCAGCCTGAGCCTAATCCAAGGAAGCAATGCAATGTCATCACTCTTAGAAGTGGGAAGAAACTACAAGAATCGTAGAAGAGAGGCACATGCACGCCCAAGCTTGTTGAGAAGCACGTCCATGCTAATTCTACATGCACGCCCGTGCTTACTGATGAGCACGCCCCAGCTGAAATAGAAGCACGACCGTGCTTATACAAGCACGCCCATGATAGTGATCAAAGCACGACCGTGCATCACCGTGAGCAAGGTCGTGCTTCAAGCGAGGAGCCTGAAAAAGAAAAGAATGAAGAGCCTTTTGTTTAACCAAGGCCATATGAGCCTAAGATACCTTTCCCACAGCGGTTGCAAGGTCACCCTCCTTATGATGAAGAGTTCCACAAGTTCTTTTTATATGGTCCTATTATATATATATTATTGAATTTTTTATTTTATTTTTCTATCATTTTTTTTTATAAAATTTTAGTTTTGAATAAAATATAATTCATAGTTAAATAATTGCTATTTATTATAAAGAAAAAGAATTAAACATAATATATTAATATAATAATTAAATTAATAATAATAAAAATAAGAGTATAAAAAATATATTAATATAATTTTATTATTTTATTTTTTAATTTTATTTCGTTTAGTTTTGATTGCATCTTATTCCTGTTCAGAGATTTAACTATTTTTTAACTTGTTTAAATATAACAAATATAATAATTTATTATTAAATAAATTTATTATTTAAAAATTGTAATCATATATAAATATTTTTAATTTTTAATAAAATATAATTTCTGTTTATTATAATTATAAATAAAAATAATTATAATATAATATATTAATTTAATAATAATAAAATTAAAAATATAAAAAATATATTATTAAATAACTTTATTATTTAAATTATTTTATTAGCTCTATTTTTAAATTTTATTATATATATATATATATATATATATATATCTCGGTCTGTCACATTTTATAAATAATTTAAGTATGACTTATTTATCTAAACTCACCTTAAAAATAGCCTAAGATTTGTTTATTTATTAAAAAGATTAAGTCAGCGTATTAAAACAAACCAGGCAGTCTGCCTGTTTCCATCCCTGTACGTATAAATTACATATTGACAATGGTTGAAAGGTAGAATTGCTGTAACAAGTAAATGGGTGCCACCAGTCACTTGAATCATTAGAGATACACAATAGTTGCCATTCTCTCAAGTCTTTTCCATTTGGATTTCTTCCCAAAACCTAACTCATTGGCCATATGGGGTGTGAGAATTTGGAATATCTAACTGCTTTAGTTCCAGAGAGGGAGGGACAACTTGAGATTGAGCTTCTCACTTCTCTCCAATAATCACTACCTGAAGGAATGCACAGTAGAGTCTTCTCCCAAGTTTAAAGGAACTCCAAGTATGGAGTTGTCCAGAAATTGAGTCAATTCCAAAAGGGTGTTTTCCTGTTAATTTGGAATCACTCAAGATCAGGGATTGTGAGAAACTCTTTGCAAACCGAATGGATTGGAATATGTCATGTCTGGCCTCTCTTGTGCACTTTTCTGTTGAGGGAAAATGTGAAGATGTGGAGTCCTTTCCAGAGGAAGGTTTGCTGCCTCCCACCCTTACTCAACTAGAGATTCAAGGATTATCAAATCTCAAAACTTTGGTCACCAAAGAGCTTCAACACCTCACTGCACTCAAGAAATTACAGATACTTGACTGTTGTAAACTTGAGTCAAAAGGAGAAGGTACATTGCCTGTCTCTACTGCTGATCTTGACATCTGGAAGTGTCCTTTATTGCAAGAACATTGGGAAAGGGAGAACAGCCCCAAGATTTCTAAACCTAGCATTTGGATCAGTGACAGACATATTAAATTGGATGAGCAGCTGAATTTGTGACAGATACATTCAATAAATGATGATTCCATACTGTTTCTGCTCTTTCTTTTTGGTGTTAGCTCAGGGATGCAATAGGGGCACCGAGAGGATTTTTCTGAGTCTAGTGAACATGTTCACTGGATGATTTAAATGAGTACTTGGTGTGGAAGCATGTGATTTATTTTTATTTTTATTATGTACTGATTTGTCTCCTTAATTTTTGTAGCTAGGACAGATTTGTTGCCTGTAAATCCTGTTAGCTTTTATTAAATCAACCTTATATTTTGTAACTAGAACCTGTACAATTAGAAATAATATTCAAATTTCCATGTACAGTTGGCCTTTTTCTAATCATAGCTTATATAGAAAAGAAACATTTAGAGTGGCTATAAAAGTTTAATTAAAATATTTATACTGTTATCAGTGTTTAAAGTGTGCTGATGGAGTTGCACCTTCTCAGTTGCGATAACTGCATCTACAATTGTGGTGTGCAATGGCAGCATTTGTACGCAATAGACCGCATTAAACATGTAATGCGATTACAACCACATTTTTTTATATATCAACCAGAGTATTATGATTTTTTGTAAGTTACCAGTACCCTTACTCAAAATGTAGTCACACAAAACTAAATTAATTACAAACTTTAGCTTCATTCCCATACAAAATCCAAAATTGGTAAAATAGAATATTATGCAAACTCAAATACAACTAATCTTGATATATAGGCGTTTCCAAATCCCATGTAAAGGGCTTTCAAATTGGAGTATATAACTTCACAAGGATGAGAAAGTGTAGGAAGTGAAATTCTTATGGAGCTGGAATTGGCTTGTGAACTGGCAAAGGTGGTATGGGATTAGTTACTACTGGAATAGGTAGAGGTTTTTTCTCTATTGGGAATGGCTTTGGAACAGGCTTGAATTCTGGTATAGGAATGGGCTTTACAATTGGAACAGGCATAGGTAATGGTTTCATTACTGGAATAGGTAGAGGCTTTTCCACTATTGGAAATGGCTTCGGGACAGGTTTGAACACTGGGATAGGAAATGGCTTCGGGACAGGTTTAAACACTGGAATAGGAAATGGCTTCGGGACAGGTTTAAACACTGGAATAGGAAATGGCTTAACAATTGGAATAGGCTTAGGTACTGGATTAATGACTGGAATAGGTAGAGGCTTTTTTACTATTGGAAATGGCTTTGGGATAGGTTTGAACACTGGAATAGGAATTGGCTTAACAATTGGAACAGGCTTAGGTAATGGTTTAATTACTGGAATAGGTAGAGGCTTTTTCACTATTGGAAATGGCTTTGGAGCAGGCTTGAACACTGGAATGGGTTTTGGCTTTGGAACAGGCTTAACAATTGGAATTGGCTTTGGCATAGGCTTCTTAACCACTGGAGTAGGTACAGGTGTTTTGGCTATTGGACATGGCTTTGGCTTTGGCTTTTCAACAATAGGAGATGGCTTTGGCACTGGTTTAACAATAGGAATTGGCTTTGGTATGGGCTTAACAACTGGAATCCACTTTGGAATAGGTTTCTGGAAAACTGGAAACGGCTTTGGTATAGGTTTGACAACTGGAAACACCTTCGGTATAGGCTTAAAAAATGGATCTGGTAGAGGCTTATTCTCTATTGGAAATGGCTTTGGTATAGGCTTCTTATAAACTGGAAATATTGGTGGAAAAAATGCTTTAAATTTTGCGTCATCATTGTGATCTTCTACTCCTGTTGACTTTCTATCCAATGGCTTGCCATCAGTGTTCACCTCTAATCCTGCAAAATAAAAATATAGAATATCACAATGTATACATGTATGTAACAATTGTACTTAGTTGTTGTAGCTCAGGCTGAGAATGGAGGTAAATCATGTAATGTTACTATTGCTACCTAGCTATGGTACTTATTTTGTACAACAAAAAAGCAAAATTATCTACATGCAAATAGGATCAGACCACCAACCTGTAGAGGCTTCATTAGTAGTTAAAGCAGAAGAATATGCAAAACAGAAGCATAGAAGAAGCAACAGGGGCACCCAGCAGCACAACACAGGTGCCTTTTGAGAAGTTGAACTCTTCGTCATTGTGAAAACACCAATGCCACACCAGCCACCAATGTATGGCAATGAAAGTTGAAAAGAGAAATATTCTAGATGAGGGCTTGAGTTGGTGTAGCTGCATAAGATTTGTGTTATATATAATGGTTTGGCTAGCTTAGGATTGTGGTACTTTAAGTTGTTCATCTGCTATTAGCCTATTACTCTTTCTAGTTAATAGTATGAGGTTGTAGGTTAATTTATTGCCCAGTTAGTTGGTGGGATTTATGTTAACTTAGGGATCAATGGCTACCGGCACCGGCTTTGTTGCTCAAATGGTATCTCTTCCAATAAATGAACTTCCCAATTGAGCAATTGTTTTTGGTAATTATTGTTGGGAGACAATGAATTGAATTAATATCTATCAGTATGGTTGATTGTGATGTTGTAAAACACAATAACCTTAACTAATGCTTATGATCTTTTACATTACAGCCCAGTGAATTATATTATATGCCAGTTAACAATTAAAACCTTTTAAATTTCTTATTATTATTCTTATATAATTTCTTCATGTATTTTATCATTAAGATACCTTATACTTGATCGTACTACAAATGCTTTGATTAAATGCTGTTAATTTTGGTAACGATATGATTGATTGGCCAAATACTTCTCGGTGTTGATTACACACCGGCTATAAAAGCTGTTCTTAATTTGTGAAAAAAGTCCATGTGTTATAAAATGTGTTTTTTTTATTTTATTTCATGAAAGTTATGTTTGGGTTAGAGAAAGAAGGATTTGACTTTTCAAAGTGATGATTTATAAAGTAAAAAAGTAAGAAATTATTTATTATTGATTTAACATTGATTATATTTATTTCTTATTTTGCATATTGAACAAAATTTAATTGTAATTTTTTATATGTATTTTTATTTTAAATTAAAATTAGAATTGACCAAAGTATTTTACTTGAAAAGTAGTTAGTCCAAACTGAAAAAAAAGTCAGTTAGTTACTTAGCACGTATAGGACCTGTTTGTCTGTCTATAAGTAATAATCGATTTTGCAGAAAGTGAAAATATCCACTACGGTCAACATGCATTGAAAGGTATGTACATTTTTTAACCGTTGATTTCCTTATATCTATTTGATAAATGGATAAACAAAACATGCAAGCATGCTATTAATTTAGTTAAAAAAACATTTTCCAAAAAGAATAACTTCTGGCTATATTTTTACTATACTTTGATTATAATTTTATAGAGAAAAATAAAATAAAATGATTTTAGTACCTTTATAAAATGAAATAAAAAATGGACACTACTAAAAATTAGAGATGTAAGTCAATACAAGGACAATTAATATATGGATTCGTGTAATTAATTTGAAGAGGACAAGTTATGTTACTAGAAACTTTAGAACTGTGCAATTCTTCTAGGATCTTATTAGTAAAACTTCAATAAATAAATATATGTATATAGATTTCTTGAATGTTACAGGGGAATAAAATTTTTGCATCCACTGTATAAAATTTTGTCGACATGATTAAAATATAGATTATATATTATTAGACTTGGCAGTCGTAAAGAAAGTGAAACCTGTGTTATTTGTTGAAATAAAAATTCAGATGATATAACTTTTGTTTTTTGTTTTTTGTTTTTTAATTTTTTACTAATACTTTATATTTTTGTAATATTTTATAAAAAAATTATTTAAAAATATAATTTTAATATTTTTCAAAAAAAATATTGTATGAATATCTTTAATAAAAAATAATTTAAGAAAAGTATATTTTTAAGAAAAATATTTTACTCATTTTATAAAATATGGTTTTAATTTTTATATTTTAATTTTTAATTATAATTTCTTACTAAAAATAAATTTTAATTGTAAAAAATTGAAGAAAATTATTATAATTTAATATCAAAATTTAATAGTATATGTGAATACAAACATTTTTAATTTTTAATATATATATAAAGTCAAAAAGTCAAATAAATATTTTTAAAAATTATATTAATTTTGATAAAAAGTAATTTTGTTATTTGAATAGAATTTATATCTTGTTTTATTATTATTTTTTTATCTCAAACATTGAACATGATGACACATAATATGAAGATAAAGGTATATCTTTCTCTCATCTTATCTTTATCCAACTTATATTTTATTATTTTTTATTTTATATATCATATTCTTTAAATGAGCTCTAAATATCAAATCAATTGAAAAACTTAATTAGGTCATATAATGAAACAATTTTTAAGAATTCAATATTTCACTCATAGTTATATAGTTAAGCAAAAAATGTTTGAGTCATGGACCATCCATAAACATACTTTATTTGATGTTATTATTTGTAAATTTAATTAGGATTTAAGATTGATTTTATTAGAATTTATGATTTATTGTGATATATTTTAGTTTATTTAAATTTATTATTCTTAGAATATTTTCTTCTATTAGAATGAAGATTCTATTGTGTTACAAGAATTTATTTTAGCTTACACTAAGGTTTGATATTATTATAATTTATTTTATACTTTTAGGATTTGTTCCCTCATACTTGTCTTTTATCGTTTTTCCTTTTATATATATATATATATATATATATATATATATATATATATATATATATGAAGCTATATAATTCAGAATAATAAAGATAAATGAAATTAGATGTTTTTATTCCTAAATTGTGAGATATTTTATTTTAGTTATTAGGCAAAAAATTAATATAATTATATTAGGCAACTTGTGACAATCGACTTATGCCTTATCATTCGCTTTTTCATCTCTTTTTCTAAGTGTGATACAAATATCATTTTTTAAACTTAAATATTGAGGCAATTCATTTTACATTTCATATCAATAATGCAAAAGAAGAGGCTAACCATGATAGTTCCTTATAGTTTGGGGAGGAGTTATGAGATGCATAGATGAAGGGTTTTTTTTTTTTATGTAAGTTGAGTTGTTTATTGTTGTATAGGGATGATGTACTTTTGGGATGGTTAGTTATGATTTTTGTGAAATAATGGAGTAACTTGAGCATAGTTGAGAATGTAAGAAATGAACTAGCAAAAATGAAGGATTTACACTCAAACATTATCTGAATCAAATACAATATTAAAATAAAGAGCTCAAAATTAGACTCAGAGATCAAGCAACAATATTTTGTAAATACACCAAAGTAAAAGCTCCAAAACAACAAGCAATCACAACAAGGTCCCTCATTGTCAATAAACTACTAATATAAAAGTTTCCTCTGTCATGCTATCCCCACATCCTATATATCTCCAAATATTCTAACAAATTATCCTAAATAACTTTTGTCATGTTGGCATTCTCATCATCAAGGTCCTTCTTTCTTATAGTATATACTTTCCAAACCTTGGGCCTCGATGGCTCAATATTCAGAAACTCATCCACAAACTTATTAGGCCTCTTAGATTATATTAGTAATATATTTTATGAATTATGTAACTTACAACTTGACTTTAATTAAATTATTTACTATGATGATTGTTAATTATAAAAGATAGAATCAGCAGGGTATAATAATAAATACAATTAATAAGAAACATTTCCCTCTTCTTTTAGATAAATAAAAGAGTAGTTACTAAAATAGGGGTTACAATCTCTATCTTATTTTTACAGTCTTATGGCGATCAGTGTCGAATTTTGACCCTTAATGTGTGTTAGGAATGGAAGGAGAGCCTTTGTGTGAGGTCAATTAATATGAAACTTATAAGAATGTTGACAAACAAATATGCATTGATTGACATGAATATAAGGTGTGCTTAAATATGGATTTCTAAGGGAGGAGGAAGATGTTGAGTAAATTCACTATGTTGAGATCCAAAATTATTAATAAAGTATTTGACATATATCATGAGCATGTGTGAGAGAGAATAGTTGAGACTATAGTTCAGCACAGTTGTGGGATACTATGTGTCTGGGTTTTTGAAGAACTTTGGGAGTTGCTTAAGGGGTATGACTCAATGGCCCAAAGTAGCTCTCTGTGATTGAATCACATCTCTAGCAAACCCTTGTCAATCCTGACAGGATAACTATCACTAAGATCGTGGTAAGTCCACTATTGAATGATGCTCTTGAAGTATGTATTGTCGACAAATTATTTTATAAAATATATATGCTAGGATGTGATGTGGAGTAGGGAATAGAGTCTTCTGATACCTCTGATATTAAATGGTTGTGACTATGTTTTGAATGGTTGAGTTTCCCATGCATTACATCATATGATTAAACAAGATAGAAATTCATAAATGATCTGCATTACATCATATGATCAGGATTTTAAAGCCACAACAATCTCTAAAGAAAGAGAGTAAATTGGTTATTTTTAGATATCTCTCTAATGTCTATTCAACTTTACTTCATTAATTTGAGCTGAGTCCCAAAATGGAATGTCTATACTCCACGGAAGACATTTTTTCTATGCTTGTTTGCCAAATAAAAATTTAACAATTGAGAAACCATCAATCTTTCTTTGATTTTTAATTCTTCAAAATAATTTTGCAATAATTCTAATGTTTTACCTAAGGCTTTAGGGTATCCCCTTTTTTTTTGGAATTTGAACTAACATGTTTCCTTTTTGTACATTTTGAACTTTATTTTCTTACCTATTATCTTTTGTTTTAAGTTCACTATCCATAATTTTTATCTCAAACAATGCAATAATGGTAGTATCATATCAAGTAACTTTGACTGTCTCATTATTCAAGCAAATGAGAAAAATGCATGTATTTGGAAGCTTTATCTTGATATATGAATATCGTTGTAATGAACGGTCACAAAGATTGGATTGCAATTGGGGCAATATTTTGGGAAAAAAAAAGGTTTGGATTAAAGAAGAATAAATGCAATGGGGCAACTTTTTGTGGAATTAAAATAATTTTCCTTATGAAAGATGACAAAACCTTCTTTTTAAGAGTACAAATGGAAACAAGTTTGAAAATAAAAAATGTGATCATACTTATAAATTAGACCCCACTTGGACATCAAAAGATTGAATACATTATGCCAC